CCTTCCTTCCCTGCCTGCCAGTTGTGACAAATCTGTAAGAAATTGGTGTCTTCCAAGTCTTTAGTAACATGAGGATAAAATTAGCACACGGGTTATGTGGTTTTTTGAAGAAACATAGTGTAAACAGATGCACAGTCAGGCGGGGGATCCCTTATGTTGTGTGTCTAGGACTAAAGCAACATAAGAGCAGGAGAGCAAGGTTAGAGACGGACAGCAGAGCCAGCGGTTTCAGGTGTAATAGTATTACTGTCTTTATAAAACCTGACAAATTTGGTTTGTTGCCTTGGAGATTTTATTCACCTTAAAAAGCTATGACTTCTGTGAGTATCTAGTTCTAGCTGACTATTGGAGTGGGTTGAGATTACGTGGGATCAAGCCTCAAATCTTCCTTTTTCTTCCATGTTTACTTTGATTTGCCCGATGCTAGGAAGGGAATGGCACTAGGATGAACAGTACTTGGTGGCACTCGCTGGGCCTGGGTGGGCCCAGCTGCAGATGCTGGTGCCCATGTCTTGTGTCAGACCCCCCATTGTTGGTGTGTCCCCTGCTCCAGGAGCTGCTGCTTTAAGGGGAAAACATGGCCAAAGGGTCTGTGATTTGTTAGTGATTTGTCTCGGTGCTTCTTTGACAGAGAGGTCCCTGCAGACCTTTTCCAGGTGTGACCGATGGCAGGGCTGAGCGTTAACCACCGTGGCTGCAGCGTGGGGACGGCGAAGGGGTTTTTTGCTGTGCATGTTAAGCTGTGCAGGTGCAGCCTGGCCTGGGCAGCATTCGCCTCCCGGGGCTCCGGGCTGGACAAGGGCTCCTTGCCAGCACGTGGAGGTGCCTCAGGTGCCCGCTCCACACTCCTCCCTTCTCGAGGCAGGCTGATAAAGTCACAGCCGTAAAGCGGGGCTGTATCCTGCTCAGCTGAGGAGGCTCTGCCATGAGCATTGCTTAGCATGAGCAGAGGTTTTTACTGGTTTGCCTTGTTCTAATGAGCTTTGATCATGAGCATGTGTGTTAAGTATTCAAGGGTAAAACAGTGTTATTATATAACCAATCTCATTTAAAGACTTTTTTTTATTGTTTTCAATTGCTTATCTAATAACAATTTTTTAGATCTAACTGGCCCTTGACTGATCCAGAACAAAGCGCTTCCCCACCCTGGCATCTTTGCTCCTCAATTCCTGTAGCTGGCATCATTTCCATGTGGAACCCCAGACCTCGTCCTCTCTCTGTTCAGGGCATAAGGGAAACATTGCAAATGTTTCTTCCTGGTCTGGAGGACACACAATGTGTTTTCTCAGAGACATGGAAGCAGTTAGTCAGTTAGGAGCCCTGCACTCTTTAAAGTGATACCTTACTTGTGGCACAGTGAGAACTGCACTTTGATCGAGCTCTCTACACCATCCTGTGTCAGGTTTCGCTTCCTTCGAGCTGTCATACTGCAATGCCTCTTCTGTCCCACCTCAGTACCCAGAAACCTGAAGCAAACTGCCATTTCAGCGCTGTAGCACTGAGCGTTTTCGTTTCCCTTCTAAGCCTCGAGTGTTGAAAACGCTCTGATATCTAATAGGTTCCCGGTTGCTTTGCAGGGGGTGCGTGTGTGCCGGCATGGCTGGCTGTGCCTTACGAGGGGAGTACAAAAACACTCCTCTTGTGACACCTGGAGCGCGCTTGTTTTCCCCAGGCGACATGGGGACACGGCCCTGGAGAGGCAGCACCTGCCCGTGCTGATGCGGTCACTCACTCTTTCTGGGACTCATTTGGGAAGGACACTGGAAGGTGCTTCTGTGCGTCTGGCCAGGATAGCAAAAGGCCCCACGTTTTCCATCTTCTGTTTCCGCCTCCTTGTCTATTCCCCACTGCAAAGGAGAAAATCCTCCAGATCTGAACGTTTCTAGCGCTTCCCCACAGTGATTTCCAATTCGACCTGCAGTGCCCAGATGCCAGCTCCTATTTGTGAGGTGCGAGCAGCACAGTGAGGACTACACGGGACCTGTGAGATGGGATGACAAGTCCCATAAAAACCTGGCACTTGCTAGCACTGCCTTTTCTGTCTCCCGCCTGCACGTGCATTGTCGACTTGGATTTGGGATGCTCTTGTAGTGTCACCAGAAAAGCTGTCAAACGTGCAGTTGCAGAAAAGAAGGCTTGAAAACTGCTTTTAATTGCGCTTCCCCTCAGTAGAACACAGATTGTGGTGCTTTGAGCTCAGGTTTGTTTGTATCAGGGACAGACATTGATACCACAGTTCCTATTGGGCATGAATATTTCAACAACTGAAACTATGCCTGCCTGCTCCAGAAAAGAGTTGCTTGCATCCTCGTTTGATCTTTTTAATGAGCCAAGCCAGCTCAGGTTGGCATCCCGGCTGTTTATTTCCTCGAGGTATGGTCTCTGTTAGCCGAGTCCTGTGTGCTCTCCCCTCCTCACTGCAGATCCTCTGGGAATGCAAGTTGGGAAGAGGTGACATCTCTAGAAAGAAAAGAGGAAAAAAAGGACTAATGTAGTAAGAATCCTGCTGATTTGTTTGTGCTGAGAAGTCTCCTTGGATGCCTGACCCAGATAAAGATGGTGTAATGCTGGGAGCTCTCTGGAGTGGCAGTTTGTGGGGACAGGCTTCTCCTTGCATTCTTGTGCTACCTTCTCTCTTGCCCTTCCACGTTTGCTGTCCCTTCCTGTAGCTGTGATCCATAGCACGGGCAGGGGGCACTTTGGGGGCACTTGCTCTTCAGGGATGGTCCTGTCTTCTCCTAGGGTCTGTGGAGTGCTCTGGGTGAGACCAGGCTTCATTGTGTCGGAGGGAGAGGTTATCCAGAGCCGAGCAAGAGGTGCCCTTCCCGCTGTGACTCCTTGGTGCCGTAAGCTGTTCAGTGAGGTCCTTTAGAAACAGCATGTGGGTGAAGTTAACACTCCATGGATGATGCCAGAAGTCAGCAACCTGCTTCATTAATGTCTTTTTGCAGCGTGGTTCGTTGTGTTTGCATCACTGCTCCCCGGCAGAGAGGGTTTGGTGTCATGGGTATGGCTGAAGGGATGGGATGCTCCATTTGGAGAGACGATTCTGTCTGTGAAGGGAACCTCCTTTAAGAGCAGTTACCCAAATATAGTCGCTTGTGTTCCAGGACAGAAATTTTACACAGAGAGTTAGAAAAGCAGCCTCCAGTGAGGATAACACGAAGTCAGGCCACTGGAGGATTTACTTTAGGGCAAGGAAGGGGAAAAATGGTGCCCTTTCATTTTACAAACTGCCTCCAAAGCAAAAACTCTTGATGGACTGATGGATTTTGTTGGTGAATTCATCAGCTAGAAGATGCCTTGCATGTGTGCTCAGGGGTACCCAAAGCTCATTTGCAGGGCTTGGGTACATGCAAGGCTCATAGAAAACATGTAGCTGTAGGAGTGGCATGCTGAGCATGAGCTGGTATTTATGACATACTTGGTGTTAAATCCATTGATACACAAAGCTTGGGAAAGAACACAGACTGTGCACTACTTGTGCATATGCTTGTGCACGTAGCAGAAACGGTGTGTTTTGGTGCTCTTTTGAGCAGGGGACAAGCCCTGTGGCTGCTAAGGCCGTGCGCAGGTGCCACATAATGCAGCATGGTTTGTAATGGAAGATGTAGCGACTCTTCAGGGCTGGGGATTTGAAGGCCTTTTTTAGAGACTTTGTGTTGCATTTGACTGGTATGTGTTGGGGGGGTGTATGCATATATATCATATGCAAATGTATTTTGAGTTGCTGTGTGTATTTAGAAAAGGAGTAGTTTGGAGAAAGAACCCTCTGGGAAATGTTGGTTTTGCAAGCACAGACTCCTAACTGCAATTCTGAGGGAAGAAGAGGTGGAATGAGGAGGAGGTTCACTGAGGGTTTTTTTTTTTTTTTCTTGTAGCATTTTGGGAAAACTCCAGCATTTTGGGAAAGCTCCAGCCAGGGCCCACATACAGTCAAATGAATCAGCCTCCCTTTTTGCCATAAGTAATTGGCAGCTCTAGCTGCAATGCAGTTTTGATGTGTGGCTGATAGTTTTTTGCAGTTGGTTGAGGGGAGTCACTGCAGTAGCCACATGATGTCGGGTTTGCCTTTGCATGGAGCCTCCAAGCTGGCAGGAAGGTACTTGAGGCTCCTTGAAAGGTTGGGGTTTGCTACAGTGCACTGAGAGCTCTAGTCTTCAGGCTGGCCCCGCTGTTCGTCTGCTGTAGAAAATGCATCTCTCGTTGCAGACAGGAGTAGAGGGCACTGTAATCTGATTGCTTGGCATGATGTTTGCTTCAGGAGTCTCGTTTTATAGCAACTTCAACAGAATATTCATGTTCCTGGAGGAGTGACTGTTCCTGTGCTGACAAATAAACCATTTTGGTCTTCTCATATGCCTGTAGCAAAATGAAATTCACTTATTTTCTAAAGCATCTGGTGCCAGTTCAGTCTCAGAGCTTTCTCTGTCTGCTGTAGGGTTTACAGTGGACTTGGAAAACTTATCAGACAAGCTCAGCATTCACCACTGGCCCTATGTGGGGAAACTGGAAGGTTTCCTTGTCTTGGAAACAGGAGTTGTAGAAGTTGCCCTTGGCAGGCCGGCATTTGCCAAATGCCTCATTTCCTGTTGCAAGCCCAGTTTTACATGGAAAATCTGTACCATTTGCACAACTCTAGTATCTGTTGGTAAATATTGACTTTAATAACAGGCACTTGGCTTTAGCAGGGTGATGACAGTGAGGGACAAATGCTGATGGTGCAGAATGCTGCAGGGGGGCAGTGCAGTGGGTTGGTTCTGAAGCATTTTGCACCTGAAAGGAAAGAGAAAATGGCTATTTTTGCTCTTTACCTTTGTGGGGGCAGAATTAACTTGCGAATGTGTAAAGATACAAATAATAGAAAGGAGGGTGGCATCTCCTTTCCATCCCCCTTACCTGAACAACAGGTCTGCTTGTTTGGTTCAATGTTTAATGTCTATCTAGAGAGTGATTATATCCAGGCCAGTGGGGCTGAAGTTTGCTCTTTCTCTCTCCAGTTCACTGGACAAGTGTTTTACGCTTTCTTCAGCATAACTTTAAATGGACATTGTTTTACCCCGTTCTGCAAAGGAGCTGGTATTTCTACAACTCATGCTGTCATGTAAGTAACCTTTTTCTTTTCTGAGCAAGGTCATTACATCACGATGCAGTAATCCTCTGCCTGGGGGATAAAACATATTCTCTGCCTGGGTCTCCGGCTCAGTCTACTGCTCTTATCTGTGTTTGTTCCCTCTTAAAGTGTGCATGACAGGGGAGAGATGAGGAGAGAGAAGTTGTTCTGATTCTGGCCTGTTAAACTATTCAGTGTTTAGAGAGAATAATGCATGGGCTGTGAGAGGCAAAGGGCTGTTGTCTCCAAGATACTGCTTTGATACTTTACCCACAAAGAGAAGCTCCTGAGTCACAAGTCAGAGGAGCCTGAGGATGAAATTACACCTTTGCCAGGCTCTGACAGGTTCAGCTTTACAGAGATGCAGGTAGCAAATTATCCACAGACTGAATTGCAAAGGAGGGATTTTAAATGGGCTTTAAAAACCTGTTGGAGAGATAGAATGGATAAAAATAGTTAGTACTTGTATCTCTGTTTCCTCTGTAAAGCAGTGTACATCCTCTTGGTCTTGTTCAGAGGATCAGGGGAATGGGCAATGCCACTCCACTAGGGCAGGTCAGCAGGAGAGCCAGTGCCAGGACCCAGCTCTCTGCTGCCCGACCCATGGCCCAGCCATAGGTTAAGGTGCCTCCCTGCTTGCTGCAGCTTCTGATTGGCCTTGGATGCGTCTGCATGCTTTTTCCTGAGTCAGTTTACGTGGCAATTTATCATTCATGGCCAGCCCGGGGCAGGCCCAGTGAAGTTTGGTTCATAACTATTTTCAATTCGTATGTAAAGGGATTAAGTAACGTGGTTGCCTGGACAGCAGGGCCTGCGCTCTATGACTCGCTGGGCTCTCCCAGGCCTCTGCTCCAATGTAACCTGAGGTGATGCCATCTAAGCTGCACCAAGAGGCTGCTGATGTAATTTCAAACTGTCTGGCCTGAGCGCCAGCAAAGTCAGGCAGGCTGCACATGCAGAAGGTGGCATTGGGTTTGATCCTCTTCTGCCCAAACAGAAGATAGGCAGGGTTTGATTCAAAACAAAGCCAGTTAAGTGAGCAGAGAAAGTGGAGCAGACGTCCTGATGGCCGCTTGCATCCTGCACCTGCTGTGAGAGGACATCGCTGGTCACGCTTTGCTGTGCAGCTCCCTGGTCTCTTGCAGTTTAGACAGAATAACAAAGTTGAGTCACCAGGTTGTAGTATCTCAATAGGCTACTTGAGAAGGTGTCAGGCCCTTGTTACGGGTGGTTATTATAGCAGAGGAGCTATCAAAGAAATAGACCTGGAATTGTATTAAGGCTTCACTGTTACCATCATGTCGCTCTATGGCTCTTCAGAGCGTTGCAGTGATAGTGTATGTGTCCTAATGGTGCTGGCCGTATCCTCATGGAAATGTTGCAGTGCTCTGTAATTTTATCACAGTCCTGGAGTCCTCTCACAGATGCTGCCTCGCTGACAGCATCTTTGAGTGTGTTTCAGCTGTGCCGCCTCTGCTGTTGAAAACAGGCTGTATTTTTGTCCAATGCCTGAATGTTTTAATGGGGGAGAGGAGATTTCCAAATCAGATTAATTCATTATGCTCTTTTATCATTGCCTGTTATTAGAAAAAATCTAGCAAATGAGTTTGTGCTGCTTCATTTGCGTTGCTGGTTTGCATCTCTAATTCCGGCAGAATCCACGGACCGAGATTCCAAAGGGATGACTGCATCGCGGGAACTGCACAGGCGCAGCACGGCCACGCAGCCCGTAGCTAGGAGAGCTCCCACTTCTCCAGCAGATGCGATTTCAGAGCAGCGTTGATTTTTTTTTCCTCTTTTTTTCTTCATGTAACTAGTGATTTGCTGAGTTAGAGCTGACAGCAGCTTTTTCCCATCCGTATAGGGTCATTCTGTGTATGCGTGTGCACAAACTGGAGCACTGCAGTCTAACAGAAGCCCTCCTAGCATGCTTAGCTGAGTGTGATACCCTTTCCTTTGCACTTAGTTTTAAAGCCAAATGTCATGAAAACAACTTCCCAGGCTTTCATGTGGGCTTATAATTTTCTCATTGATGCTATTAATACTGCATGCCCACTTGCTCCGTGGTGGGTGTCAGCGCTTGCTAACAGCAGCCATCTGTGAGAAGGGAGCTGCTTCCTGGCACGGGGAGAGCTTGGCCAGCTGCTGCTGGCCGGCCGGAGCCGCCTTGCGGAGGCTCTCCCTTCCCTCCGCCTCGCCCCAGCTCAGTGCTGGTGCTGGGTATTCCAGAGCCTTCTGAGCTGCTTTATTTCCGTGTTATATCCGTGCCTCGTCCTCTGAGGGCAAGAGGTAAAACCCAAGTGTTAGGAGCATCCAGCTCATGCTCTTAGTGTCCCAGAAAGCTGTTAGCCCTCATTCTCAGGGGGGTTTTCTCCCCATATCAATCCTGATAACTGCACATGAGATCATTTCTTGAATTTGGGCAGTATTTGTAACATGGACCCTCCCCCTGCATAAATGGTCTCTTCCTTTTGGTGTATGGTGATCTGAATGAAAATGCAATTGCAGCTCTGGCCTAGCAGCCTGAGGAAAGCCAGTTTTTCTGTGCTTTTTCTCATGTGTTGGAAAAGTGTGCTAACTCTGCTCTTTAGCTTTAGTTCCTGGGAGCATAAGCAGGTTAAAATGGACTGGGAGGAGGACCTCCAAGTGCCGTTGCAGGTAGATCCCACGCAGAGAGGATGTGTGGTTTTCCACATCCTGAATCACTTTGCAGCCCAACTTGTGGGGTTTGAATGGATTTCGAAACCTGTGTTCGAGCTCAGTGATGAGATTAGTTTCAGCAAAAATCTGCTAGCGCAGTTCTCGCAGTGTGGGTTAACAGTGTTGCTCACGGTTTCGTGGGACAGCTGTAGTCTCAGGGCACTCTCCCTGAGAAAAATAGCGGCCTTGGCCAAACTCTGCCTCCAGTTGTGTGGTCTGACCTCAAGCTTTCCATTTAATTCACAGAACCACGTGCTCTAGGTGTCCCTGCTTGAGCAGAGGGGTTGGACTAGAGGATCTCTAGAGGTTCCTTCCAACCCCAACCATTCTGTGAAATCTGTGGAAATTGAGGTTTGTAAGAGAGATATGTTTAGTATCTGCATCAACTTCCATCTTGATGCAACACCTTTTAAAAGGCATTTATTAGAGGAACGTGGCTTCAGATTTTCTGTTGTTTCCCAGCAGGCATTCATCCTTCCTAGTGCTCCCTTCCAAACTCCTCTCCCTTTCCTCTAAATTTCCTTCATTACACAGAGGATAGGCAGCGTGCGGATGGCTGCCGGCATCATCCTGTCATCCAGAAAGGGACTTCCACCGTGGAGGCTATTCCTTACAGATAGGGAACAAATGCAAGTTTCCACCATCCAGGGAGCCTACAGCAGAATGGAAATGGTGTCTCTTTGAGGGCAAACAAACCTTTTGCAAAGGCTTAGGGAGTGATTCATCTACATTTACACAAGCTACAATATCAGCTTGTCAGACTTAAGATCACTTTATGATATAAGACACCCAAGTGTGAATCAGATCAAGGTACTCTTTTACAATTTGCAGCAGTCAAAGATATATTAGTGCTGATGAATATCACTAAAAGAGAATAATGGTTACCTAAATAATCATGACTCAAGTTTATTATTTGTAACAGTGAAGACTGGCCTTCTGATAAGGGTTTTAGCTCTCAACTAGGATGAAAATTTGCTGAGCTGAGAATGGTACAAGCCCAGAAAACATGCCCAAATTTCTCTCTTAGTGGCCATATGAAACGTGTGAATGTTGGGTAGGAATCAGAAGACAGATGAGCACAGAACTGGTTTATGCTTTTCTTACTCAAGCTGCTTTCCCATGGAGATTTGTGAAACTGCTGACAAGTAAAGGGCAAGGAAACTTCCTTCAAGTTGCAAGTCATCAGAGATCTGTCCTGTCTCATGAATCCTGTTCCAGCCATAAGTGAAGGAAGTGCGCTCCCAAATCCTTCATCAGCTCCTGCTGTTTCCCTGAAAGCACCAAGAAAACTGCTTAACCACCCTCCTGGCAGTTTGTGGGGAGGGCTCTGGCTTGGATGGGCTGTAGAAGCACCAGTAACGCGCTCGTTCACTGAAGTGGGCTCTTGATATTGAAGATTTTGGCTTTGGCGAGACACAGCAAGTACTGTACAGGGCTGTGTCTAAGTAACTCCTGTCTGGCAGATAAATGGAAGTTTGCTTGGCGCTTGGATGGTGAGGCAGAGCTGGGTTCTCCCAGGAGCTGGACGGTGCTTTCTGTGGGAAGCAGCAGAGCAATGCCACTAGCCCAGTAATTCCTGTGCTGCCTTTCTGAATCCCAGAATGTTATTTGAAAGTGAATATATGAGATTTAGGCCTTGACTGGAAAGAAATGTAGGGGCAAGATGTTGAGGGCACAGGATTTTTGTTTCAGGAAAGCTCAGAGGATAGGTGCAGACACGATATTGCCTTGGTGAGGGCCCTGCGGAGGCAAGAGCAGGCTGTGGTGTGTAGTTTGCTAGTGTTTTGTAGCCAGGTTGGCCTCTTCTTCTGAACAAAGACTGAGACGAGCTATGTTTTGCCAAAAGAGACTTAGAGGCTCCCTGTCTCTTTTTTTATTTTTTATTTATTTATTTTGTCTCCTTTATAAAATCCTTAATGGAAGCGAGAATTCTTATGGTAAGAAGCACTTGTGCCAAGTAAAACAGTAGAAGGTGATGGCTGGAAATAATATTTCTAGGAGAAACGTAAAATGTGTTCTATTTTCCATGCATGCTTTTATTGCTGCGTTTTAGACTTTCCTTGATAGGGTTTCTGTTGATAGCATTTCTAATCAGCAGGCCGTTATCCGCTCTCTACTACTATTACTTGCAGCTTAATGACTTATTATATTGATTCTTTATCCCTCAACTTGCCGAGTAATTTATTGCTTAGTGGAGGGGTGGAGAAGAGAATTTATTGCCTCCCTGTTTCTTGCTGTTCTGCAAAACCAGTGCCTATTTTGCCAGTGTCTTGGGAAGGTGAGTTGTCTGA